CTGTGCTGGTGTTGTGTACTCAGGTGAATAATATGTTTTGTGATGTTGCTCTGAGTGCATATCCACACCGGGCGAGCTTGAAAAATATGCCCGGCCACGGTGGGATTCGAACCTACGACCTTTGGAATACTAGCCCAATGCTCGTCCAACTGAGCTACGCGGTCAGGACGGTTCGAGTAAGTGATATTTCGGAACAGTATCTAGTTCCTTCAATACCAATGTGTTCTTGTAATATGAATTTTTCTGTGCTGGTGTTGTGTACTCAGGTGAATAATATGTTTGTGATGTTACTCTGAGTGCATATCCACACCGGGCGAGCTTGAAAAATATGCCCGGCCACGGTGGAATTCGAACAGCTCGTTTCGTATACAGCTAATCAATTAAGGTTGTCCTTCCAAAAACTTAAACCTTAAACTCTGAGCGCGCAAGGGATGATGGGTTATTTCTCATTTAGACTCATAAACTTTGAAATTTGGCTTTGCAAAATAGCTAAGACATATAGAAGGCTCACGACAGAAAACATCGTCAGTTATCGAGGTAACAACGAACACAGACACGTGGAAATTAAATGAAGTTGTAGAAATATAAATACTAAAGTTACAATTGCATTAATAAATATATTCCTTTAGGTTGCATAAATCCATTCAGAACAAGAAAAAATTATAATAGTCAGTTTCATAACATTTCTGCTCCTTATTTATATCACTTTAATACGACACAAGCTGCGAAAAATCGTTTTTATTTTAACGTTCCTAATCTATATATATATATTCAAAAGCATAGCAAACCATTCGCTCAACGGACTTGACCTCGTCTTTGAGCTGTAATCAAGTTTGACTTCTAGGCAGTTGTTTACAAAACAAAACAAAAACGAAACGAAACCACACAACACGACGCGACGCAGCACAGCACAGCACGAAACGAACACGGAGTAAACTAAAACGTGCGTTTTTGAAGAAAATCGACTATTTAAATTAAATGTTAATAAATGGACTAAATTACTAATGTTTTCGTCGTATAATAGTAGGCCCTAATCAACGCAATGGGAACTGATGTTTCCAAGATCAATTTCCGTTTTACTATTAAAAATAAGTCACTATACCTTTTCTTGTTTTATTCAGCAGAATAGAAATGCTTTTAAGTGTATTCAGTTGAACTTTTGTGACTTCATCTAAAAGGTTTCGCATCTCGTCTTTTAAATGTTGTCGCGATCGTAGCTCTCGAATTTCCACAAGTTTTGTAAGGTTTTGAACTTGCTCTTCAATGTTCAGAATAGCGTCTTTTACTGGACGTTTTAGTTCGCATGTTGGTAAAATTATTCTCATCATGAGAAAATTGCTATTCTCTTCGTCATTTTCGAAGCATTTTACTCTGGTAAAAAGAATGGAATAATACAACAATCAATTTTAAATAATCGATTTAATTATATAGAGTTTGCATTCTTGTCTCGCATGTTCTTAGCTATACAAGGAGCTTCATAGGCGTACCGGGCGGGGGGGGCGGGGGGGGGGGGCGGTAGCCCCCCCAGTTTTTTGGGCAGTCGGGCAATATTCGATCAACAGTCGGGCAATTTTGGTTTGCAATAAAAAAAAATGGGACAAATTCTGTCAATTTTGTCTAAAATTAAGTCAATTTTTTGGCAAATTTTGTGATTTTTCGAAAATTTGTGTTATGTTTCGAAAAATATTGGTTGTACGGAAAATTTTTTTGACCCCTAAAATGGTACACTGACCGAATTTTTTTTGGCGACGGGGGGGGGGAGGTCGCCAAAATAATTTTTCCGGAAAAAATTTTTTGGTACTAGTCGGGCAGAATCCCGAAAAGTCGGGCAATTTTCTTTCCGCCCCCTAATTTTTTCCTTCCGGTACGCCCATGAGGAGCTTGACAGTTATTTCTCAAAAATCACTCCTCGCTTTGCTAGCTATATTTTCCGAATATGAAATATTATTTTGCAGTGGTTGTCTTGCATTGTTGTATATGACGATCATTTCATCATTTTATTTTTTAAGTCTGTGATTAAGAAAAATTATAGTGTATTATATTACTTCCAGTTTTAGTTCTGCCATTGTTATTATTCAAAATGTTTAGGAACGATCGAACTTTCCCTAGCTAAGTCTCATGCATGTTAATAGTATATTTTGTGTTCAATATATAGACTACAAAAAGAATTTTAATATGTTTATTACAATTAACAAACTACGTTTCGGAGATTTACTCCATCTTCATGTAGTTATAAGATTATACAATTTGAATTTTAAACTGAATTCAATTTGAATTCAATTTGTAATCTTGTAACTACCTGAAGATGGAGTAAATCTCCGAAACATCGTTTTTTAATGTGATAAACACATTTAAAAAAAGTCTTACTCCATGTGGTCTATATATTGAACACAAAATAAACTATTGTTATTATTGTTTACAGTTTATTTTCAATGAATTTATTTATTTATTTGTTTATTTTTATGCTTTGCCAATTTCACACAATCATAGGCTATCTGCACAAACATACAAACACAAGAATATATACAAACTATTAAGAAATGGCTGCTACAGCTTTGCGCCAATCACAGCAGCCCTTACACGCGTAAAAACGCTCAGGTTGATGCAATACTGATGAAAACAGGATTGAACAATGTTTTGCTGCCCACATTGTTCATAGCTGTCAACAATATTGAACAATATTGTTACACCCGATTCAGGCTCAACAATATTGTTGACAAGTGTGAACAACGTGGGCAGCAAAACATTGTTCAGTCCTGTTGAGCAGCGGGCTCGGCGTTTTTTGCCGTGTACAAAACGAACATGACACATTCTTCATTAGATCTTTAGTAATATAAAAAGGCCAGTTTGCACCCAGGAAAACCATCCGCAGAATAGGAAGGGAAAGGAAAGTTACATAGTGCTAAAGTCGTTATAGTTCCAACGCCGTCCGCTCCTGTGGAAATTTTCCTGAGTGGAAATTAGCCGACAATGAAGCTTAACAAGACGAACACAGGGACACACATTAGATCAGTAACAACACGAATTTGAACAAGACAAATTACGGGACTTATTACAAGACAAACATACAGACTTCCATGTTCTATAGGATTTTTTGCGTCGTAAATGTTTGAGCCGATTTCCATCGCTTATATTTTATCGTCAATCGTGGTTTAAACTACTGCTTACCTTCCTATACCAAAAAACAGCAAAAGTCTCAGGAACAGTCCAAATTTATTCATCATCATTCAAGTAAACCTAACACAGAATAAAGGTCACGAATTGAATGTATTTTTGCGAAGCAAATGTGAAGTTACCGAGTAATTTTCTTGCAAAATATTTTATAGTCCTACGGTATCGTTATGATTAAGGGGCATGTTTATTTATCACTACTCATGCAGTTGTCTTTAACTTGAAATTTAGTAATGAAAAAAACCCCATGATAACATGTAACCAAATGCGAGAAAAGGCAAAGTGTTTTCAAAGGTAAAGAAAATATTGTGTGTGATATTGTATAAACCTGTTTTAACTCTTAATTATAAAATCACACAATGTAAAAAAGTTACAAAAGAAAACTAAATTTAAGACAAACGAATAGCACTAGAAGGCAATCGAAGACAGTATATATATCTGCGCAAGCGGAGCGATTAAGTTATGCATAAATTATATACGATAGGCCTTTTATGCATTCAGTTTACTCTGTCCGGCAAAGCAAGACAATCTTTTGCTCATTGCTCATGCGATTTTGATCCAAGTTTAAGAAGGCTTAATACAGTTTTTAAAAATTAAAAATTTACTGTTTAGATCGGTATTTTTGGACAATAATTACTAACATATATATGTGGACAACGTTAACAATTACTAACCTATACAATATATATATAGCCAATATGTATATATATATGTATATATATATATATATATATATATATATATATATATATATATATATATATATATATATATATATATATATATATATATATATATATATATATATATATATATATATATATATGTATATATATATAGCGCGCAAAGCATAATGGGAGCACTGTTTAAGCAGTTTAGAAAGCATATATGGAACCCATTTCTTAGAGACATGGTAAATATCTCCTTGCGAAAACATTTCACTCACAAACAACTGCAATAGTCAACTACCTTGCTTGAAATCAGTACTCCCACAATGCTTTGCGCGCTTAGAGTTTAAGGTTTAAGGTTTAGAGTTCGAGGTTTGCAAAGGACAACCTTTTTTGAATTAGCTGTATATATATATATATATTGTAGGTTAGTAAGCTTGGTTTATTATATATATATATATATATATATATATATATATATATATATATATATATATATATATATATATATATATATATTTATATATATATATATATATATATATATATATATATATATATATATATATAATTCAGTCAAGGTTTGCATGTTTGCGTCGCTACTCTGAGTTTCACGCTTTACGCGATCATCAGGCAACTGACAGATATTATTCAATATTCATAATAAATATAGGTTATCATTTTACAACTTGATTAAGCAGGTATCTGGTTACATGTCCACATTTGGAAAACAAGTCAGAGCGTTTGTTCAGGCATTCAGTTTTCTTCGCTTTCATAATAAGTAGTTTCTCCTCGAGGCATAAATTACACCGTTTAGATCCTGGTTTGTATGCTTTGACTTTCTTCATAATGGACCACTTTATTGTATACTGACTTTTTTCTGACTTCAGTTTCCAGACGTACTTGGACAGTTCGGTGTTGCTCTTGTATTCCTCATGTCGGAAAGACTTAGTGTGATTGCGGTATCTTGTTTTGAAATCGCCCGCCGTCATGCCAATGTATATTTTCTTTTCCTGGTTGTTGGTAGTGCTGGTTGTCACTTCGGCTTTGTATACGATGCTCTCAGTAAGACATTTTTTACCAAGTGGACAGTTGGCGGGTTTTTGGCAGTTGCACATTGGCGTGTCGTTTTTTGTAGGTGTTGGTATTACCGTTGGTATGGATGATTGTATTACCCTAGCAGTTGGCGTTCGTTTTGTGTTTCGGTTGAGTATATTACGATTGTGTTTACGGATGAGATTTTTCATGTTTGTCATGCAACTGTAACTAACACGGACTGTGTGGCGGTTGAAAAGTTTGTGCAGTTTGTTTGAGGGAGGAAAATGCTTGTCAATTAGGTTTAGGAATGTCTGTGCTACATTGGTCTTAACGTTCTTGCTATAAGGGGGATTGTACCATGTAATGTTTCGTTGTCTGTTTCGTTTATCGGAGTTATTAGTGTTGTTTTGAGTTTGTGTGTACGTTAGGTTAACGTCAAAGTTGCTTTGCTTGAGAGCGTTGTTGTAAAGTGGTGCTGCTGCGTTGAATGCTTCTTCGTCACATGATAGTTTGTTAATGCGTTTGTTGACTGAGTGTGGAAGTTGTCGTGTGATGGAAGGTGGATGGTTTGATAATCTGTTTATGTACAGTGGTTCATCATTAGGTTTTCGGTATGGTTTA